TCCCCCTTCTAAATATCGACACCACCACTTGCAAAAACACCTGAGATTTTTTGTTTGGTGAACATCTCATAGCCCCCTTTTACCTCTGATTTTCATAAGCCTGAGAGTAATTCTGGAGCACACTGGATTTGATGGCTTGTTTCTTGTTCTGATTTCTGTGCTTTTTTGTCTAGAAGGGGAGGTTTTCTTTTTCTTGTTTGTCATGAAAAATAATGCTTATATTTTCAAAACAGTCAAACTATGCAGTTAATAAAAATACTTATGGGACATGATTTTTCAAGCCAACAAGTCATTTTTTGCACCAGAATTTTGAGGTTTTATGAATATAATATTAAAAACACACAAATTAGGGGGTATCAAATATAACGAAATTCACCTCTTTTTAATTGACTGGTTTTGAGAAATCCACACTTACCAAATCCAACTTTGCAGTGACCAAATAACCTACTTCTTTTGTCAGGGGCATATCAAATATAGCCTAAAATCAACCCATTTTTTTAGCTCAAAATTCCTGAATTTAAAATTTAAAATTCAATTTCAAATTTCAACCATCCCCCATCCTCCACGATTCCCTCAATCCTCCACGATTCCCCACATCCTCCACGATTCAAACCCCACTCACCCCACGGCTTCTTCAAAATCTCCTCTTAACTCACCCCTGCAAATCACTTGTCATCAAACCAACTCTGATCAATTGATTAGTTCAAGGTATTTATCTTCAAATGAACTAAATTATATTTTAATGGCCTCACAAATTTGTTATTTTTCCACTACTTGCACCCAACAGATGCCACCAAAAAAAGCTTCCAGAATCCCAAACATATGATCGCTTTGAACCCCTCCAAAGAAGAAGAGGTCCACTCCAAAAAAAATACACGATCAAAGAAGAACGATGATGAACTTGGTTCATCCCAAGGTCATCTAAAAATAGAGGACTATGAAATCATCATCAACTGGCTCAGAGACAAGAAAAACTATGTTGCGTGTTTTGGCGATGGGAAGGCTCCTGCGATTGGACAACGACCACTTGGAAAATTGAAAGAGCCTTCATCCTGATATGAATCTGATTACTATACTAATTAATCATTGAAGTTGTAAAATGTTTTATTTACTGAGAAATTCCATGCAAATACACTAGGGGGTTTCAAAATTACCCCAGGACCTTGTGCAGGTTCCAAAACCCAGGAAAAAGTTTCCTCCTGGAGGGACTCCTGTCAGACACTGAGGCTGTAGCCCATGTGTCTACAACCTGTACTTAACCAACAAACACATGTACTGTAGTGTATTGGTTAAGGACTGTGTTATGACTTTGCCTCACCAACACACTTGAGTTCAAATCCCAGTTATGTAATCTTATATTTTTATTATTATTTTATTTTTATACTTTTATACTTTAAGTAATTCCACGGAATTACTTAAGTATTCACCTCTGTATTAATATTCATACTTTATATATATATAGTTTGAAATCTTAATCATCTCTCTATACACTGTAATTAGAGAGATGACATCATTCTTTCTCCTTTGAGCTTGAATGACATCATTCCTCCACTTCTGGTTTAAAGCTTAATTTAAATACATATTTTGATCATTTATGATTATATACATAAATGATCTTCTGCAGGCCTCACCGGTCTCACAGGCAGGTTGATCCCTGCCTTTGTAATACTTAAGGGGGAGGTCTTCTTCCCAAGAACCCTCCCCCCAGAGATTATTACCATACAACCCGTGCACCTTACATACAATTGTGAGTGGGGTTATCATTTAATCTATTACTATCCACCCCCCTTATCCTTATCCTTATCCTTATCCTTTATCTCATCCCTAGGCTACAGTAAAGTCAATACTGTAGACTAGAAGAGAGTTTATCATTCCTCTAAAGCCCGGCGCTGCGAAGACCTTACCGCAAGCGTCCCCTACATTTACAGGGAGCTTAACCCCTCCGCTTTCTAGCGTCGAGGCGAGGTTTCTAATCCATTGGCTGCTAGTACCACTAGCAGTTATAGTGTGACCCGTAAACCCCATCAACGCCAGGTCACATAAGAGACCGGCGCTGACAATTGGGGGTCTGGCCGATTTTTTTTTCCGAGACCGCCATTCCTAAACTATAGACCACCATCCCGACTCAGTCTCACTGTTTTTTCTGTTTTTATTTCTGTTTGAACAGATCATCCGTCGTTGACCAGTGCGGATTGTAGAGGAGCCAATAGACAATACGCCAACGTCAACCGTCGGTATTGTAAGCCTTCTCCCATTCGCGAAATCTTTGTCTGTTCAGACCCTCGATCATTATTCGCTGATCTTGTTCTTTAAACCTCAACAACCTGCTCCAAATACAGGGTTTTCTCTCGTCGTTTCTCATTCAGATCAACGTTACCAGAGTGTTGGTTTCCACCTGTCAGTCATAGATCATTATTTTTTCCTTCCAAATTACTCGAGGAGATAACAGGATCTGAAGACCTTCTCGTTTTGACTATAGACATCTAGATCTGCTCTGAGAAGGTTGATCATTGATAGTTCTCGGTTCTTTACACTCCGCGGTCACGTAAAGAGCGAAATAGTAAGTGATTATTGAGTTAGAGTCTTGTTCTTCGAGCATCGATTAAGCCAAAGCCGCTTACACCGTGTAATTATATACAGTGTCAGATCAATTGACTCCGGCTATTGCTGCGACAGTCGCCGCCAAAATCGCAGAATCTTCTTTGACACCGGAAGCGTCTAGTTCCGGTACTTCTAAGAAACCGACTAAGAATACTACTATCGCGACATCGGCTACCTACGCAATTGATAAGGCGGCTAAGTCCTCGTCAACTTCAGAATCCCCTCGCACCAGCATTTCTACTAAATCGTCTAAGAAGACTTCACACAAACCTGCAAAAACTTCGTCTAAGAAGATCAAGAGCCCAGAGTTCGTTCCTTCCGATTGGGATAGTAGCAACGAGGTGGAATCCGAAGCGGACAAACCTCGATCGAAGAATTCTGTTGCTCCTAAACTCGAGAAGTCGTCCGCCAGTTCTGATCCTATCAAGAACAACGAACCCGCCAAAAAGCTCAGCGATACTGATATTTTGAAATCCATACACATCCATAAGAACCTGATCAAACCAGCTCCGTTAACTGAGAAAGATCCGATCGGCCTACAGATTCCTGAGACCGCAGGACTCACTCAGTCTACTCAGCCAGACAATCCTAGTCCGGTTCAAGTGATCAACGTTCAGCCGGTCCAGTCCTTTCCGAAAATTTCAGGAGACGCAGCCGTGCAAAAGAAGATTGAAAACTATTTCGTGCCTCAAGGAAGAACGGTTCGATCCGAGTCTACAACTTCCTCCGCTCAACCAAGCTTATCGTTCACTACTGAACCTTACGAGCCGGCCAGCGAGAGCGATCTGGACATTATCACGGGTTCGTCTATCCAGCAGAACCCCATTAGAATTTTTTATTATTTTAACATTGAGATTTTTCTTTTTACACAATCATGTCTACCAGGAGCCACCGCCCAGCTCTGGTCGAAGCCCAAGATCTCAAAGGGGCGCCTCGGGGACGATATTCTAGCAAGGTATCCTCGACCTCTTCATCCGCTTCTCCAGTCGGTGAAGCTGTATCAGGAATACTACCGTCAAGCGACGGAGAAGAACGACGAGGACATGAAGGTCGTAGCGATCTCCAAAGCTTCCGAGTTGCAGGACGATCTGACGGACAAGATCGACAGTCAGGACTTCAAGACTCTGTTTGGAGGTTGGGATCCGAAAGCGGAGTGCGAGGAGTACCTTACGGGGCCGACGGGTCGCAAGTACAAGAGAAGCAAGGACATTCCAGTGACCCCGACTCCAGACCCGGAGATGCAGATCGATCCTCCGGCCGAAGTACCACCCCTCCACCAAGGGACGAGTCAACAGTACCAGCAAGGATATTACAGCCAGCAGGGGTACCCGTACCCGCAAGCCTATCAACAGCAGCCTCAAGCGGGTCAGTACTTCAACCCAGCGAGTCCCTACTACCCTCAACCGGTAGCGAACACCGCTCCAGTTCCGTACCCTCACGTACCGACCAGCGAAGTCCCTCCAAACAGGACCAACCAAAACCGCAATCGCAACAACAACCTTCGCAACCAAGCGCACAGAGCGCCAAACAATTTCCGACCGATGAGCGCAAACGGCCCTCGTCAGCGTACGAATTCTCAAACAGCCAGAGAGAATCGCCGCGTAGCTTACCAAAGGTCGATTCATCAAGAGATGATCCGACTCAGTCGCACAACCCAGGCGCAGTACCAGGCCTTGGAGGCGATGCGCGAGCAGAGCGCCGGATACGGGAATCGTCGTCAACCCCAAGAGGGAGGGGCGAATCAAAACTACTAACTGCAGAACAGTTAGTCCCTCTCCTACAAAATCTTTTCTACTCTATTGAGAAAATTATTGACTGTAATTTCGCTGCTGTCTCTAAGCAGATCAGGTCAGAATCCTCCATAGATGTGAAAAATCTTTTTAGTCATAAATTTGACTCCATAGAGCCTCATTTCCGTTCCCTTTCCTTTTCATCTGAAAATACTATTGCCTCTCTAAATAAGATTTTGAGTTCCCTTTCCCCCATAGAAAAGATTTCTAAAGACACTTTTAAGGACGTTTCTCTAGTTAAAGAAAATATTTCTCAAATTTCTACTTTTCCTGTTCCTGCTACAGTTATGAATGAATTAAAAAATATTCATGGGAGTTTAAAATCCATTGACAATAGAGAAGATTTATCTCATAGAGCTTTTGATAATTTGTTTTCACTAGTTTATGATAAATTAGAAGAGAATAAAAAGAAATTAGATATTTTTTTACAAGACTTTGGAGACAAATTGTCATCCAGTGATTTTGGCAAAGTGCCATATAGTAATCAACCAAAGGAACCAGTCCAAGATTTGTTCCCTTCTTCCTCCTCTTTAAATATTAAGATTGACAAAGGCAAACAACCAGAGAAATGTCATGATTCCTTTAAGCCCTCTTTGTCTGTCAGCAATGACAATCAAACCTTAGGTAATAATATTTGTTCTTGTCATGCAAAAATTTCAGAATTGAAATTTGAGCATGAATTACTTAAAGAGGTAAATGATAAGTTAGACTGCCTTATTGAATTGGGAAATCAACCTGTCTCTGATATTAATTCCAAATTATTAGTGATGGAAAGTAATAATGAGAAAAGATTTAATGCTCTGTTGGAAAAAATTAGTGAGATGAAATGTGTCCCTGGAGTTTCAACTTCATATCCCATTGCCTCTAGAAATGAACCAAATTTCTCCACACACAGGAATACAGTTCCCTCTGCTTATCCAGAAGTGAAACCACATCAGAATGCTTCTTTGAACAACAACCAGGAATTTTTCAAAATTCACAATAAAAGTACTGATCCTGATCCAGGCAGACTTAGTGAATTTTTTGATATTCCAGAGGTTCAACCCAGAGAAACCCCTGTGGCGCCAATCCAAATTTCCCCTGAGTCAAGTAAAGTCATTTTACAAGGTCTGACCAAGATGAAAGCCTGGCCTGTATTCTCAGGTGATGGAGAATATAACCATGTGGACTTTATTAAAACTATTGACACAATTCAAGAGGATTCCAGGATTGAAGACATTGTCATCACCTCAAGGCTGAAGTATATGTTTACAGGTTCAGCCCGCCCCTGGTTTTCTACTGTAAGAGACATGGTTGGTGATCAATCCTGGTCTTTTTGGAAACAAGCAATCCACAAGAAGTTTGGTACCTCATCTTGGAGAAGGAAATTGTTGAACATTTACTTGAAAGATAAATTCATCCCAGGTAGTACCCCAGCAGGAAATTGGGTTACTAGGCAATACAAAAGAATTATGGCTTGTGAGCCTCAAACCAACCATGAGAGCTTAATGTTTAAATTGTTGACACAGATGGATGGAGAAGTTAGCTTTGCTGCCCAGAATGCCATGAAAGGCAATCAGACACTAACATCCTTAATTAATGTGTTGGAAGACATTACTGACTACACTAGTATAGGTAAGAGAAGAACTCCTTACGGACAAAGTAACAAGAGTTATGCATCCAGCAGTTCTACAGACAAAGTTACTAATCCAACGTCTAAGTCTAATCAAGATGTTAAGTGCTATTCTTGTGAGAAGATGGGTCATACTTCCAGGAATTGCCCCAAAAATTCTAAAAAAGTAAATGTGATTAATGAAGAAGATTGCAAAGAGGATGCAGGTATGGATTCTGAGAGTGACTTAGAATTGGATGAGGATTCCCCAGGAATTATCTGTGTAGAATCCAATGTACTAGATTACTTTATTACTTCTATTACAGGAAGCAACAAAGTAGTGGCTATGAACTGCGCAGGAAAAAGTTGTAAAGTACTTTTAGATTCTGGTGCTTTTAAGTCAGTGGTGGGTCAACAATATTTGGCTAAATATTGCCCGCAGTGGAAAAAATTTGTTAGAGGTCAATCCAAAGATAAATTTCATAGCTGTTCAGACAAGTTGTCCACTTTAGGTATTGTTAGAGTTAACCTCAGCTTTCAAAGTCACTCCTTTGTAATTGACTTTATAGTTATTGAGAATGCAGTTGTTAATTATTTTATTATTGGCAATGATTACTTAAGTCATTTCAAAATTTCCATCATGAACGATGCAGGTAGTTACTTTAAGATTGGGGATAGTAATGATAAGTACTACTTTCATCAAGAGACGTCTCCCACAGTAGCCGTCACTTTACCTGAACAAAATTGTTTTGATAAAGAAGTACAAGACAGCTCCAAAATTAGCTCTTCCTTGTCCTCTACACAAAAAGACCAACTTCTTCAATTGCTTTTTGTTAACAGGAAGGCCTTTGCTACTGTAGAAGAACCATTTGGAGCCATTAAAGGACACGAGGTCCAATTGACTTTGAATATTGATAAACCTTACCCTCCAGCTCTGAGGAAAGCCCCTTACCCTGCTAGCCCCAGAAGCAGAGAGGCTTTAGAAGAACATATTCAAGCTTTGTTAAAACTTAAAGTCATTAGAAAGGTAGGTGCAAATGAAAATGTAGACATCACTACTCCAGTTATTATAGCTTGGCATAACAATAAGTCCAGATTAGTGGGTGACTTTAGAGCTCTTAACAGTTACACCAACCCAGATAGGTATCCTATGCCCAAAATTATGGAGTCTTTAACTAAATTACATAAAGCTAAGTACATTACGTGCATGGATGTCCTTAAGGGGTTTCATCAAAATGTGATTCACAAGGACAGTAGACAATTCCTTAGGATTGTTTGTCACTTAGGTATTTTTGAGTACCTTAGAATGCCTTTTGGTATCAAAAATGCCCCTTCACATTTTCAGCGTATGATGGACACTGAATTTTCACACGAGTTAAATCAACTCTGGCTTATTATATACATAGATGACATTATAATTTTTTCAGATAACTGGGAAGATCATTTGTCACGCTTGGAAATTATTCTTCAGAGAATTATCAAGATGAATATGAAAATATCTTTGTCAAAATGCCAGTTTGGTTTTCAGGAACTTAAGGCTTTAGGTCACATTGTTAATGGTCTATCCTTAGGTATAGACAAGCATAGAGTTGCTGCAGTCTTACTCAAGCCCACACCCCAAAATACAAAAGAAATGCAAATGTTCCTTGGTTTTGCAGGTTACTACAGACTACACATTAAAGACTTTGGGGCTATGGCTTCAAGTCTTTACAAATTATGTAGTCCTACTGTAGTCTTTGAAATGACAGCAGAAAGAGTACAAGCTTATGAATCCATTAAGTTTGCCTTGACTAATGCACCTCTGTTGTTTCATCCTGACCCTAAAGAAAGATTTAAACTTTATGTTGACGCTTGTATGGAAGGCATAGGAGCTGCCTTACATCAAGTACAGATAATTGATGACAAACCTATGGAAGGTCCCATCTGTTTTATCTCACGGCAACTCAAGGAATCTGAAAAGAAATATGGAGCGTCTCAGCTAGAATGCCTTTGTTTGGTTTGGGCACTGGATAAACTTTATTATTATCTTGATGGATGTGAGTTTGATGTGATCACGGATTGCAACGCTTTAAGATCTTTGTTAAATATGAAGACACCCAACAGGCACATGCTTAGGTGGCAAATTGCAATCCAAGAATGGAGAGGTTCTATGACGATTGTTCATAGGGAAGGCATTATCCATAAGAATGCAGATGGCCTTTCAAGGTGGGCTCTTCCCAATAATCCAGATAATCCTGCCTATGATGCAGAAGATGCAGAAACTGGAACTCCGGTTACTTCTATTTTGCCATCTCCAATGAGGATGTCTGAATGTCTAGCTCATTGGGCTTTGCCTAATGACGAAAACAACCCAGCCTTTGAAAAAGATTACTTTGTTGACAGCAGTCCTATTATGGCTATTTCAGTATCAGGCTTGTCTTCTTCATTCTGGGAACTGATTGAGAAGAGTTATGACTCTAACAGTAACACGGTGATTCTTAAGAAATTGCTTAAGTCTCCATACGCAGACAAAGGTCTTATAGAAGGATTAGATGGTGTTTGGAAGAAACACTTTTTGGAAGACAGGTTTGTCATGCTAGATGGGTTACTATATCACAGACGTGAACATAACTCATCAGTGGTTCTGCTAGATCCTAGCCACATAAGTATTATTTTGAATGAGTGTCATGACAGTATTACTTCTGGCCACTTTTCTAAGGAAAGAACCTTGAATAGGGTTCAGAACCTAGCCTGGTGGCCTGATTGGAAAAACCAAGTCTCTGAGTACTGTGAGTCTTGTGAAAGATGCCAAAAGGCCAACAAAGCAACTGGCAAAAGATTTGGCCTTTTACAAACTATTGAAGAACCTAAGACTCGTTGGGAAATAATCAATATGGATTTCGTGACAGCTTTACCACCTGCAGGAACTGAAAATTTTAATGCAGTGTTAGTAGTTTGTGACAGATTCTCCAAAAGAGCTAGGTTCCTCCCTTGTTACAAGGATAGTAGTGCTATGGATATAGCACTGATTTTTTGGAACAACATAGTAAGTGATGTAGGTTGCCCTAGAATAATTATAAGCGATAGAGATCCAAAATTTACTTCTGACTTTTGGCAAAATCTTTTTGAAATTCTGGGTACCAAGTTAGCTTTTTCAACTGCTTATCATCCTCAAACAGATGGGTTAGCTGAGAGAATGATTCAAACATTAGAAGACATGATAAGAAGGTACTGTGCCTATGGTTTAGATTTTAAAACAAGTGATGGTTATACACATGATTGGGTATCTCTCTTGCCCGCACTAGAATTTGCTTACAACTCTAGCAAACATTCAGTAACTGAAATTGCTCCTTTTGAACTTGAGAGAAGATGGATCCCTAGTATGCCTAAAGAC